TTTTCACGGGTCCAGATCCTTCCTACACGGATTTCAAAGTTAATAAAAAAATATATATACATAAAGGTATGGAATGAAAATAATTTTAACTAATTAGAGTTTACCAGATCTTTTTTATGTTGACTTTGGGGTTTGCGGCCCCCGTGCCATTGAACTTCCTTGGCTTTCTCGGAATTCCGGTTTGCCTTGCCCATTTCGCTTCTCAGCAAAAATGAGGCATCCGTAGCCCAGTGGCGGCAAAGCATCTCCCACACATCATCGCCAAGGAATTTTGGCTTTTTACCCGTAGACCGGGCGGTCCTAAAAGTGGGTCTCAACCACCCAGAAATCCTAGAATTGTATTCTTTGAGAATAGCTTGGTCTAGGGCAAAATGCCAACGATGGGAAGCCTTCATGAAAAACATTGATATATCATCATTTCTTAAATTTAAGTTACTAAAATGTAACAAAAATATTTATTTTTACCTTGAACAACTGCCACCATAGTTCACGAGTGGCCGCCGGAACCTCACCATAAGTCGACCACGGCCCGGTGAAATGACCACAAACAATAGACTTGATTCTATTCAAGACCTCGGAATCGCTTCAAAAAATTGATAATTGATAAAAACAATTGTATTAATTCTTAGATATAGAGATTATACTATTTTATATTAGAGAAAGTTAGTTTTTTATTACCTATGGATTGATTGAGGTGTCACCTCAAGCGAACCGGGATCGTGGCGCTCTTCTTGAGTGGGGGGGGGGGGGGGGGGGCATATATTGCACGAGATGAAGGAGGTGCATGAGATGATGCCCCCTCCCCATGCACGCTTATATGAGCGTCTGATTGTTCGGAGGGAGGAGTTTGGACATGTCCGTCAAGAGCTTGTCCTTCGTCGGGATTGATATCATCATTGATATCACGATCAGCGTTTGAGGCCCGTCGTGAATTCTGACGCCCACGACGAGCAATGGTGGAAAGGCGGCGTTCGTGCTCACTCATCTAAAATTATTGAGAAATAATATATAGAACATATTAAACTTGTGTTTAATATGAGAGGTCAAATGAGTTTTTAGTTTGATTTTTAAGTTATGGAATTTAATTGTGATAGATATTATTTTATCAAACCTTATAAAATCAATTTATGGAGTTTTTGTGTGGTATGATATTTTAAACTTAATGAGTTTCCCTATTTGGTTATCAAACTTTGAAATATAGAACACATTAAACTTGAGTTTAATATGAGAGGTAGAATGTGTTTTTTGTATGATTTTTATGTTATTGAATTTAATGGTGTTAGGTATTATTTTATGGTGTTTTGTGTGGTATGAAACTTTGATAAATATAACATATTAAACTTGAGTTTAATATGAGGGGTCGAATCAGTTTTTTGGATGATTTTTATGTGATGGAGGTAACTTGTGTTGTGTATATTTTTTATGAAACCTTATATAAAATCAATTAATCAAACTTTTTAATTTAAACTAATAAAATCAGTTTTCCCTATTAAATTATAAATCATCGGAAATCAGTTTTTTGCATTAATTTAGAAAAATACAGTTTATTACATGTTGTATTTGGTATTATTTATACAAAACAGTTTTCTAAAATCAGTTTATGAAGTTTTTGTGTGGTATAATGGTTTAAACTTATTAGTTTCCTATTTATTTATCAAACTTTGAAATATAGAACATATTAAACTTGAGTTTAATATGAGGGGTAGAATGAGTTTTTTGTATGATTTTTATGTTATTGAATTTAATTGTGTTACATATTTATCAATCTTTGAAATATAGAACATATTAAACTTGAGTTTAATATGAGGGGTAGAATGAGTTTTTCGTATGATTTTTATGTTATTGAATTTAATTTTGTTAGGTATTAATTTATAAAAAACAGTGACCTGATTTTTAAAATCTATAAAATCAATTTTTTCAAAAAAAAATTAAAAAGCAGTTTCATTTTTTGTTTATTCATGAAACCCATAAAATCAATTTTTCATGAAACATATGAAATCATTTTCGTATTATATAAACAAAAACAGTTTGTTTGGTTTTTTATTTCTATTTTAATATATAAAATACATTTTTTTACTTCATTTCTGTTTTATGTTATTTATGAAACAACGTTTTATTTAAAATAAAATATTATAATATCCGAAATTATAAAATAATATATTATAAAATCAGTTAAATGATCCAAAATTTTTTAAAGTGTTTTATAATATTAAAAAAATAATATAATATCCGAAATATTATAAAAAAAATAATTAACAGTTTCATTATTTTGTTGGGTTAGACATGTTAACTTTTTTGAAAGTGTAACATGAGGGGGCGAAAATTAATGGAGTTGAAATTATTATTCTTAATAAATATCCGAAATTAACAAAAACTCATAAATAACCTTGACTAAATATTTAATAATTAACTCTTCTAAAGCAGGCATTTTTAAATTAACAATATCTAAGGCATATTTAAAGCATATAAACAAATGATATACACATATTATGAAACGTTAAAATCACGAGCATGCATATGAATATGCGGAAACATATAAACATTAAAACAATATAAAGAAAAACATGCATTAAATAATTAAATTTACGAGCATGCATATGAATATGAAGAAGAACATATAAACATGCATGAATATTAAGAAAAACATACATTAAATAATTAAAAACATGCAATAAAATTACGAGCATGCATATGAATATTCGGAAACATATAAACATTAAAACAATATTAAGAAAAACATGCATTAAATAATTAAATTTACGAGCATGCATATGAATATTATGAAAAACATATAAACATGCATGTATATTAAGAAAAACATGCATTAAATAATTAAAAACATGCCATAAAATTTCGAGCATGCATATGAATATTCGGAAACATGTAAACATTAAACATATACACATATTCAATGCATGATAACTTATTAACATATACATATTAAATTAAACAATTAAAGAATATTAAGAAAAACATGCATTTTATTTTTGGCATTTTAAAACATTTATTCTAAAATATTCGGAAATTAAAGAGTTAGAAACATACCTCGGAGAAGAAGGCAAGAAATGAATGGGAAAGAAGGTAAGGCCGGCTTCGAAGAACGGCGGCAGGGGTGGAGATAATCCGCGGTGGCCGGTGAGATGTGTGCGGCGGCGGTCGGCGGGTGTAAGAGAGGCAGAAGGGCGGCGGAGTGGGAGGCGTTTGGGAGGGTGGCGGAGTGGGAGGCGTTTGGGAGTAGAGAGGAGGCGCTAGCTGGCCGGGTTAGGGTTTGCTGAAGTTGGGAAGCGTAAGGGAAAAAAATGGCTAAGTGTCGTTTATATATTAGGGGTTGTCACGGACCCGTCCGTGACAAAGCCCGTGAGAAATTAATCACGAATTTTTAAATTTGAATTTGTCACGGATTAATCCGTGACAAAGGCATCGGAACTTGTAACCTGCGGTACGGCAGTCGAGGCGGCAGGGAACGGCAGACGAGGCGGCAGAACGGCAGGTTGACCGGTTTGTCACGGATCCATCCGTGACAAATCCGTGACAAATTTCAAAAATTTGAATTTTGTCACGGATTTGTCACGGATGGATCCGTGACAAACCGGTGCAGGGAATATTAAAGCTTTTTCAGCCTTATTCAGACGAGGCGTCAGCTACTTTAATTGTCACGGACCTATCCGTGACAAATTTAAGTATAAATATGTGCTTAGAGTCCCATTTTTTCAGTGCGAAAAAATGGCTAATCCAGAACCAGATGTGTGGAAGTTGATCAGTAGAAGTGTACAACGATTAAAACAAGTTACACAGTTGATGAAGCCTCGAAATGCAGAAGCAGTTCAAAGCATCCGTGAGCTGATGAGTAGACCGCTTGAAAGCTTTGGCGATATTATAGACTATGAATCAGACTCATACAACGTTTCACGAGGGAAAAACTTGCGTAGGGCACTTTTACATGCAGAACAATGTTCGGAGTATATGATACCTATAAACGCGGAAGCTGCAGAAAGAATTAACGAGCTACTTGATAGGCCTCTAGATGAAAGTTTTGACGCTAATGAATAATATTGTGTTTATTTGTTTATCTGTATTGTGAATTGTTGAATGTAATAAATGATAAAAAATTGTGTGTTTTCTATTTAGTTTTTAAATTTAATAAATAAATTCATGTTCTTGTTTATTAATTTTCGAATTATTAAAATTTTGTAATGTTAAAAACTAATAACAAATAATGTTAAAAAACTAATTTCCGAATTTTAAATAATGTTAAATTTCGAATTATTAAAATTTTCGAATTATTAAAATTTTGTAATGTTAAAAACTAATAAAAAATAATGTTAAAAAACTAATTTCCGAATTTTAAATAATGTTAAATTTCGAATTATTTAAAATTTAAATACTTTTCAATTTTCGAAATTACCTAATTAATTTTAAATTTCCGAATTGATAATAATGAACCACTAATTTTCGATTGAATAATTTTAAAAACTTAATTTTATTAATTAATTAATCGCTATTTTACAATATAATAAGGAATAATTATTTTGTTTAGAAATGATAGTTGTGAATTACATACCTAACTATTATATCTTGGAATAATATAATAATGACGAAAGAAAGTTAAAAATTCAAATTAAAATAGTTCAATTAAAAGTAATTACATTGGTTGTTAACTATACATTTAATTGCTATCAGAATCAGTATTTTCTTGATAGGCAACTTCTTCTTCTGTATCTTCATCACCAGATATCCATTCTTCTTCTTCCTCCTGGTCATCGTGCAGTTGTTGTATATATAATTCTTCAATTTCGCGCTCATTTTGAGGTATAGGGGGCGGAAGGTGTGTTTCAGGCATAACTTCAACATCTCCGCCATTTGGGTCACTTAACTGAATGTTATGGTTGACCGTATCAGCAATAGGCGGAGGGTGGAAAAAATCTTGCTGAAAAGCATCAAAGTCAATATCCCTGTGTTGAGCCTGTGTTACAATTTTGCTCGGATGGATATTAATGGCACACACCCAAGGATTCCGTGTGCGCCTCGTTGAAGGATACTCTGCATAATAAACCTGGGCTGCTTGTTGAGCGAGTATAAATGGCTCATTTTTCTGATACACACGAGAGTGGTTGACGTCAATTATATTATACTTTGAATTTTTTTCTCACACCACGTGTAGGGTCGACCCATGTGCAGCGAAACAACACGCATGTTAATTCTTGCAAACCAGAAGGCATTTGAAGTTCGAGAATCTCATGCAAGAAACCAAAAAAATTGGTTTCCGAGTTATCAGAACCGATGGTCGGGACACATAACCCGCTGTTCATTGTTGGTCGACCTTCTCCATATTCAACTGTGTGATACGTATAACCGTTTATCACATATGAATGCCAAACCTTTGCATAGGAAGAAGGGCCCCACGATAATGATACTAACAGAGGGTCGTTAATCCCACGGTACCTGATCTGCAAATTAAAACATGATAACATTAGGTAATGATTAAAAATTACTAGCTAATAGTATATATAATGTATTTATATATATATATAATACCTGCTGTTGGTACCATAATGCAAAGTCAGAGTCCACCATTGCATCAATTGCATCATCAGGAAATGCTGATAAAGACGCTCTAAATTCACTGTGAATTGAACATAAAGATATTATTATAACACTCTAATTATTAAAAAAATATTAGCTATATTACAAATGTAACTACCAATTCAACTTACTTATAAAATGGTAAGATTTCTGGATAATTCATGAGGATGTAAGTATGTGCAATTTTCATTTCTCCGCCCACGATGTAACGGTAAGTCGCAGCTCCCTTACCTCTACCTGGGTAGTTGAAAATAGAAACTACTTTATCATATGAATCCTCGCCAATGTCATCGTTCCGAGCAGGTCTCTTTCTTTTACTGATTACTTCACGCTCAAAATAAAAAGATGAAAACGTTGAGATTTCTTGTTGAATATATGCTTGACAAATTGAAGCCTCAATGTGTGCCTTGTTGGTCGCTTTCTTTTTCAAATCTCCCAGAAATCTGTCATGCAAAATAAAATTTGTAAACAAACAAATGTTCTTATTAAACAAATCATCGTTTATAAATGAAATTATGACTAACCTTTCAAATCTGTACATCCAACGATAGAAGACGGACCCTCCATTCAAAGCCTCATACGGAAGATGTATTAGAAGATGTTCCATTACATCAAAAAATGATGGGGGCAGTATCTTTTCCAGATTACACATCAGAATAGGAACAGTGTCTTCTAGTCTCCTCAGGGATTCGGCATCCAAAACGGCGGAACATATCGACTGAAACAATTGACTGATTTCGGTAATACAGCCCCAGACGTCTGCAGGAAGCATCTCTTTCAGTGCAATCGGCAGAAGTCGTTGCATGATTACATGAGCATCATGAGTTTTCATGCTCGACGTCATTGTTTGTTTGTCCAGGTCCACGCATCTTGACAAGTTAGAACAATAGCCATCTGGAAAGTTCAGAGAAACAAGCCACTCTAATATTGATTCCCTTTGTGGGGCTGTGAGTTGGTAGACTGCTCTTGGAATTTTTTTACCCACGTATTCTAGATCGACGGCGAGTTCGGGTCTGTCGCACCAAATTGTCATGTCTTTTCTAGATGCAAGACCATCTTTGGTTTTGTGGGTAAAATCCATAACCGTGTTAAATATATTGTCAAAGACGTTCTTCTCAACGTGCATGACATCTAAATTGTTACGAATGAGAAGGTCCTTCCAATACGGCAACTCCCAAAATATACTCCTCTTTGTCCACTTATGGGTATCACAATACCCATTTGGCTCCCCGTGGGGTTGCTGCACGGCCGTAGGAAAACGTCGAACCCGGTTAAAAACTTGTTCACCTGTAAGTCTTGGAGGAGGGGGATCTCGTACCACTCTTCCGGCAATAAAAGACTTCTTGTCCCTTCGATATCGATGGTTCATAGGCAGAAACTTGCGGTGACAATCAAAGTAACTTGGTTTCCCGCTAAATTTGAGCCAATTGGCCTCTGATTGATCCATACATATCGGACATCCCATAAGACCGTGTGTGCTCCATCCTGAAAGCATACCATAAGCAGGAAAGTCGCTAATGGTCCAAATGATGGCAGCTTTCATGATAAACATCTGATCTCTCGAAACATCATAAGTTGGTGTCCCAATGGCCCAAAGTTCTTTCATCTCCTCGATCAGGGGTTGGAGATAGATGTCTATCCTTTTTTAGGATCCGAGGGACCTGGACAAATTAAAGTTAAAAAGATGAAATGACTTTTCATGCACATGTCGGGAGGAAGATTATAAGGAGTTAACATGACTGGCCAACATGAAAATTTCTTCCCAAACTTTCCAAAAGCAGCAAATCCGTCTGAACACAATCCCAGTCGCACATTCCGTGGCTCCATTGCAAACTGAGGATGACAACGGTCAAAGTGTCTCCAAGCTTCACAGTCGGAAGGGTGAGACATCAAACCCTCTTTGGTTTCGTGCTCAACATGCCACGTCATGTGTTTCGCAATAGCATTTGAAGCATACATCCTCTGCAGGCGTGGAGCTAGAGGGAGGTAAAACAATTTAGACAATGCAGACCTTTTTCGTGGTTTTTTTCGTCTATGAGGAACAAGATTGTATCTCTCTCCACCACAGAACTTGCAGGTCTCAAGTGCCACATCATCCTTCCAGAACAACATACATCCTTCTGGGCACACATCAATTTCTATACAAGGAAGCCCCAACTGAGACATTAATTGTTTCATTTTGTAATACGAATCAGGAAGATTATGGTCACGCGGTAACATTCCTCCAAATGACTGCAATAACCTAGACATGCAAGATTCAGGAAGATTGTATTCAGATTTAATGTTCATCAACTCTGTAACGGCGGATAGCTGAGAGTATCCCTCACAATCAGCATACATAGGCTGATCAGCAGCTTTTAAAACATCTTGAAATCTTTCAGCTAAGTCTTCAATATGAGGAACATGAGAATTCGGATACTCATCCGCAGCAGACTGATAAAAGGTCTGATCTTCATCCGCATCGGGTTGATACGAGGTCGAAGCTTCGGGAAGATCGTTAAATGGCTGTGGTGGGTTAAACTGCATCGTTGAAGCACCGTATACATCATATGCCATTCTTTGATCCCACGTCATTTGATCATAGTCTCCCCATCCACTCATCTCGGTAGGGACGTTACGAGATGAACCTATTGTTTGTGGTAAAAGTGATGGATCGAAAGGTTCGCCATGAGAAGTCCAATTATAATAATTGGCAACGAAACCTTTTTCGTACAAATCCAACACAACTTGGTCGACATCTTTAAATTGAAGATTTTTACACTTTGTACATGGACATCTGATTTTATCTCCATCCATATAATTCTTCTGTTCTTGTGCAAATTTAATAAAATCTTCAACACCATTCAAAAATTCACTGCGTATTCCATAGTTATCGCGATGTTTTTGGTACATCCAACTTCTGTTTTGTCTATACATTATGCCTGTATATATATTATAATCAAAATAATATATAAGTACATTAATATTATTAATTAACTAAAAGCAGTACATTATTTAATTCGTGGCATTAACTAAAAGCGTTAATTTGTGACATTAACTAAAAGCGTTAATTTACTAATATTTAACTAATAGTAATATGTTAATGGCATTAATCGTTTTAATTATTAACTAATAAAGTTTGAATCCTAACTGAAATCACTACAAATCCTAAATTATGCATTAACAATAATTAACTAATAAACAAATTAAACCTAATCATCATCATTGATCAATTAATTAACTAATATTTAAATCTAACTAATATTATCAACTCAAATTCTAAACCCATTTCCTCAATGTTTTAACTTAATTAATTAGTTAATTAATTTACATTTAACTAATATTATTGGTAAATATTATCTCATTAATAATTCACAATAATAATTCACAATAATAATTCACAATAATAATTCACACTAAACTAAATAAAAATAAAGTTTCAACCCTAGCTATATATATTATGCATCCCATTAACAATAATTAACTAATTTAACTTATTAATTAGTTAATTTCCATTTAACTAATATTGTTAAATATCATTAATTCACAATAATATATAATTCATACTTAACTAATAAAGTTTGAATCCTAACTTCAATCACTACAAATCCTAAATTATGCATTAACAATAATTAACTAATTAATAAACAAATTAAACCTAATCATCATCATTGATCAATTGACTAATATTTAAATCTAACTAATATTATCAACTCATCAAATTCTAAACCCATTTCCTCAATGTTTTAACTTAACTTAATTAGTTAATTAATTAATTTACATTTAACTAATATTATTGTTAAATATTATCTCATTAATAATTCACAATAATAATTCACACTAAACTAAATAATAATAAAGTTTCAATCCTAGCTATATATATTATGCATCTCATTAACAATAATTAACTAATTTAACTTATTACTTAGTTAATTTCCATTTAACTAATATTGTTAAATATCATTAATTCACAATAATATATAATTCATACTTAACTAATAAAGTTTGAATCCTAACTTAAATCACTACAAATCCTAAATTATGCATTAACAATAATTAACTAATTAATAAACAAATTAAACCTAATCATCATCATTGATCAATTAACTAATATTTAAATCTAACTAATATTATCAACTCATCAAATTCTAAACCCATTTCCTCAATGTTTTAATTAATTTACATTTAACTAATATTATTGTTAAATATTATCTCATTAATAATTCACAATAATAATTCACACTAAACTAAATAATAATAAAGTTTCAATCCTAGCTAGCTAGCTATATTATGCATCCCATTAACAATAATTGCTAATAATAATAATTGGTGATAATTAATAACCTAATAATTAAGCTAGCTAACTAATTAATTAAATCACTACAAGTCACTAATTAATTAATCTATAATAAGCTAGCTAATACTTAAATCATTACCACACATCCTAAATTATTATGCATTAATAATAACAATACTTTAACTAATTAATATTTATATTTAAATTTAACTAATTAAATTACGTTAATAGTTTAATAATATATTGTTAATAATATGAAAATTAACATGACCTCACTAATTAAATTACGTTAATAGTTTAAATAAATGAACAACTAATTAACCTCACTAATTAATTATTAAGCTAATAATTAATTATTATTATATAAAGAAAAAAGAATCCTAACCTCACTAATAATAATTAATTATTAAGCTAATAATTAATTTATCACACAATTAAAAGAAATTAGTTAAAATGACATACCTTATCTGCATAAACTCGGAAAATGATGAACTGACGGATTACATCATTCAATCTTTAAACCGATACTACATCACTCGAATCTACAAATTTTTGAACTGATAATTGTTGTTCTTGCAATTGTAATGG